CTCTCCAAATAGTAGTAGTTACAAGTCTGTATACAGAGAAGCTGGATACCCACAACCCAACACAGTTCTGCTATCACCATTCTCCCAACTGCAGCAGAGGAGAAGTAGGATCAAGATTGGGGATCCAAGGGACTAAAGCAGGCTTGGGAAATGCAGACCTGCATTGCTTTACCTTACGTTTGATGTAAGCAAGAAATAGAATGTGTTCAGTCATTGAGATTTTGGGGTTGCTGATTATCATGACATTATTTAGCCTACCCTGGACTATCAAGGTATGGCAGTCCATTGTTACTCTCCTTTGCAGTGTACTCTAGTGATAGTAAAACAAAGCCATGACATGTCCTCACATGCACCTGAGTAAGACTTCCTATGGAGTCCTTGTCCAGGACTTCACCAGAACATACAACATAGGCATATGTGACATCACTAATACTATGGGATTGCATTGTAGAGTGGCTGTGGTCATTTATACTCTTGCTCACAGTTCATGAAGGTTATATACTCCACAGTAGAACTTAGCACCTTAAAGCATGGACTCAGAGTCAGATTGTCTAACTTTCAATCCAACATCTACAGTGTTAAGGCTGTTAAGGCAATTCTAGCTCAGTTTCCTTATCTGTAAAGTGGGAATAGAAAACCTACCTACTTCATAGTGTGGTTGGGAAAATTAAACAAAATACTCCATGTAGGACAGGAGGTGTGGCTCAAGTGGTAGAGTGCCTGCTTTGCAAGTGCCAAGCCCTGAGTTCAATTAAAAAAATTAAAAACAAAAACAAAATAAAACCAAAACAAAAAAAAGAGGGTTGGTCTTAATGAACTCAAGTCTTGCTAACTTCTCTTGAAAAGAGCAGAAACAAACAGGCACAATATGAATTTACCTCTCGTGGCTGCACTTTGGCTTTTGTGGGCTTAGCTAATGGTCGGGGCAGTGGCCATAGAGACAGGATTAGTGAGGATGGAGGCCCTCACTGTGGACTTGGAGCCAGTTTGTATGGGTTTGCAGAGCCAATTGTTAAACTTTCAGGATTTTTTGAAACTAGTGGCTCAAAATAAGCGTAAATTAAGTTGTAGGGGCAGGTGGGCACATATCTCAGTGGTGGAGCGCTTGCTTACCTGGCCTGCACGAGGCCGTGTTTAATGCATAGTACTGAAAAAAAATTGCATAAACTTACAACTAAAAAGATTGTATTTAAAAGGTAATGATTCAAAATATATCGTATGCTAATTATTTTACTGGGTTTTGCTAGCATATGCTCTTGAGGCTATTTTTGTCTAGTATGGTGGAAATACTTTATAAAGCTATGTTAGTATGCATCCCTAACTCCTTTTGATAGCTTGGAATCAGGCATGGTGTGTTGACAGCAGGGAAATTGGCAAAGGCTACAAATCAACATCTTGCCTTCTTTTTGAAAAGCCATTGGTTACACATTTACCAACATATCACTGACTATGGTCCTTAAAGAAATCGGAGTGATATCAGCAGTGAGGACATCAGAGCAAGAGCTATCTGTAGGGCAGAGAATCCCTGTATTATATATTCATCCTCTGAACTGTACAGTGGGTAGAGTACAGCAAGGGTGGAATGAAGCAGTTTGACCCAATCTCTTCGTACCCATACACTATCCAAATTCCTTTAAAATCTTGCCTGATAGTTATACCCCAAAAGTTGCAGGAAGTAATTCTTAGGGAGGTTCCCAATTCTACACCAACTGGGAATCAAACTTTTCTTGTGCCAAGAAGATCAGTCAATGGTGCCATCTAGTGTCAAAGAACAGATTTCCCCTGCCCCCCAGAGCCATGATGAGAAAAGGAGCTCTATTTGGGCCCTTGAAACATAATGACTTCCATAGTTTCTTCTTCCTTTCTTTTCCCTTATTTTCTTTCCACTCTTCCATTTCCCTACTTTCAGAGCAAATTTTTATCTAGTTCTCCAACAAAAAGAGCCATTAATTTTTCAAATATCTGATGTGTTGTTTCCAGGCAAAAATGGATAATGCCAAGAGTTGAATGGCACAGGGATATTCAAAGCAGTACTTGTCTATATTATGGATAATAACTTGGAATTAATTTGCCTAGAGAAATTATAAAGTTTTTCCTTTCTGGGTCACATGAATCAAATATTCCTCTGCCTTCCTAACTTGTCCAGTATCCCTTTTCCTGTGTTGTCGTTTAAAACAATCCCTAATTCACTTTCAAGTATTGTGTCTTATATGTATTTATGTATGATAATAGTATTCCCAGTAATGGTATTTCATTCTTTTATGAGTGTTGTCGTTTATTTGAAGTGAAAAATTGTGTTTGAATTCTCATAGCTGAAGGGTCTTCCAGAAGATGGAGTAAAATTGTGTGTCTTTAATTCCTGCTTGAAAGATTTACTTTACATCTAGCACATTGAAGAAGTGATATGGCAGGCCCCTCAATGAAGATGATGTTCCTTTAGGGGTTGATGGTCTGACACAAATTAAAGAACGCTTATCTAACTGGTTGGCCCAAAGCTCTTGCTCCAATTCTGATAGTTTCTATACTTCCTCCCTCTCTCCCTCTTTCCCTCCTTTCCTCCTTCTTTCCTTCCTTCCCTCCCTTCTTCCCTCCCTCCCTCCTTCCTTCCTTCCCTTTTTCCTTCTTCTCCTTCCTTCCTTTCCTTCCCCTCCTTCCTTTCCCTCTTTTCTTTTTTAGTACTGGGGTTTGAATTCAAGGCTTCACACTTGCTAGGAGGTGCTCTACCACTTGAGCTACCCCACCAGCCCTGTTTTGTGTTGGGTTTTTTCGAGATAGGGTCTGACAAACTATTTGTCCAAACTGGTTTTGTTTGAACCTCTGCCTCTGGAATGGCTAGGATTACAGGCATGAGCCACTGGCCCCTGGCTCAGTTTCTATCTTTCTAATAAGGATAAGTAACCCACTCATAAACTTAGGGATATTTCAGATGTTTTATGACAGAAAAGTAGGAGGGAGTAAATACCACTCTGAATGCAAGGTGTGACAAGAGTCGCTCAGAAGGTGCTGGGAAATTGAAGTGCAGGGAATGTACAGCAGTGGAGAGGAGATGCAGCCTTTGGGTTAGACTTCTTCCAAAAGACCTTGTCAATGTTTTTAAAAAACCAAGTTAGAAGTCTTCTTTTGAGATTGTCAGGCTATATAAATGCAAGGCTTCCTTTCATGCATTTTGTAATCACATCAGTTCTGTTTGTATAAGCAAGGCTTCATCAACAGCCTACTAGGCTGAGCCTCTAATGTATGCTGACAACGAGGCCTTACAAAATGTGCCTGACTGTACAGGTTGCAAGCTTTTAGGGCCTCACACATGTGAGGCAACCACTGGGCTACACCACCAGCCCCCTAAAACTGTTTTCTTAAGAAACTGAAGATCCCATTAGGAAAATAGAAGTCAGCCTTGCCCGTATCTGAGGCAAAATATGTAATAGAATAAGGACTGGATACCGCTATGTTTTGAGATATTATGTTCCTAGATGTTTATTACATCTCAACTTATCAAACTGCAAGCTTAAAACCTTGCAGCATTGTGCAATTTCACTGGATCCTGGGGAAAAAATTTTTTTGGGGGTGTGGAACGTACTGGGTTTTGAACTCAGAGCCTTGTATTTGCTGGGTAAGCTGTCTACCACTTGAAACATGCCTCTAATCCTTTTTGCTTTAGATATTTTTCAGATAGGGCCTCACAGTTTTTGCACAGGCTGGCCTCAGGTCACAGTCTTCATCTCTATACCTCCTGTATAGCTGGGATCACAGATGTGTACTACCTTGCCCAACTTGTTGAGGTAGGGTCTAATTTTGTTTTTTAACCTAGGCTGGCCTAGAACTGTGATCCTTTTAACTCTACCTCCCAACTGTACCTGGCACCTTAGGAAAGCTTTTTAAGTCCAATTTACACTATGAGAGGCAGACTTGAATCCTGTGTGGCCTCAGTTCAGAGGTGTACTTGCCCCTTAACCTTTACATGAAGCACTCACTCCTCAGATGACTCTCTATACTCAACCTGCCTAGAGCCTCAGGATCAAGGCATTCAGTTCTTTCCCTGTGCCAAGGAATTTGGAGATGAAGCTAACCATCCAGCTTCTCTCTCATATGAGCATGTTCTAAACATGGCAACCAAATCTCAAAAGCTTCTTCAGCACTCCTATCATTTGTGATCTGTCTCAAGTTTTAAAAAAATTTATTTCACATTTCTTTTATCCAGCCAGATGCAACAACTATCTGACTGCTGGAGTAGAAGCTTTGTTCTCTGTAGCTTTCCCTTCATCTCAGAATCTTAATGAACCTCCATGACATGGCGGGAAATATTTGTTTCTGTAAAACAAAAGCTGTTTTACATTTTACTATCAACACCTAGATTTCTGCTTACTAGTTCTGTGGCAGGTCTATGGAATAAAAATCGATGCTTCTGATCACTTTGAGGTACTATAACCTCACAAAGTGGTTTCTGACATTCAATCAACTAACTTCGTGCTATTAAAATTTTGAACATTTGATCACCCATGTGGTACACTTGAGAACTCTAAAGGAGGCTCTAGCTGCTCAAGAAAGGAAACTACCATCCAGGTAACTCATGTACATAAAATGACAAAGTACCCTATTTCATTTGTTCTGCTAGGAGCCCTGTGTACTTGCTGGGGAAAACTTGTTTCACTCTTGGAAAAACATCCCTAGTAACCTGTAGTCCCATGTACTCAAGACCTGGTGCAGTGGCGAAGGAATGTTCCTTGGGAAAAACTGTTCTAGGGACTTCAGCGATGATCTACTTCAACTACCACATCACAGATGAGGAATGTGAGGCATAAGCTAGAATCCAGGGCTTCTTGGTGGGTGTAGAACTCTCCTCCTGCAGCTGGCTGCCTGTGTTTATTTTAAGGACCAAACCCTCTCTTTCACAGGAGATAGCAAGTCTAAAAGAACTGAAGGCAGCTTCAACTGAAGATCATTTTTCTTCCTACTGAAAACCCATTACTACTCCCAAAGTCAAAAACCACTAGAACACAGACTTAAAAACCAAGCCATTTAATTGTGTCTTTGATGGTCAACAATATGTGGAGCTCGATCCCAAGACCTGAGAATGCCAGAGCTGTACTACGGGTCCAAAACGTGGTGTGGTACTCTCAAAAGTTCAGAAGGGCCAGAACTCAAGGTGTTAGGAGGCATAGGATGTGTGGGATCCATGCATTCCATTTAGCAATTTTGTCATTTACCAGAAACAGACCCCAAGAATCTTTTAAGATGGGGAAAAATTCGACTCCTGGTTTTAAGGTTGAAAGAATGAAGAGTACCAAATGTTATGGTGATTTCTCTTCACTTTTCTCACATAATCAGATGCTTGAGCTATTGCTCTCCCTGGCTCATGGCAGCTGACATTGCAGTTTAGGTTCCAGATCTGTCTCTCTGTCCATTCACTTACATGTAAAGCCATGGCAAGAGTGACTGGAGGCCAAGAGCTCTCACCAGGATAGCTTCTTGATAAGCAGTGAACATGAAAAAGAACCCTCTAGTGGCACACTGACTTAGTTTATAAGATTTTAATTTACAAATTAAAAAAGCTACATGTTTTACTTTTTCTCCTTTTTCTCCTCTTTCTTTACATCACTCTTTTCCTTATCTTTATCCTTCTCTTTGTCATCTTTTCTCTCCTTCTTGCTCTCTTCCTTCTCTTGCCCCTCCTTCTTCTCTGCATCACGGTTGGCGATCTTGTTATTGATGAGGTTATGCAGGGCAACCACAGACCGGATTAGCGAGGCCAAGTACACCACCACCATCTGGTCATTGGTCTTCAGGTAAAAAGCCTTGACAAACTCCTGCAGGCTGACATCTGGCAGCAGGTTGAAGACGTCCTGCAGCTGGTAGATGATCTGGTGGTTGATGGGTAGCTTGCCTGTGGCTACTTTCTCCAGGTAGCTCCTGATATCCAGGAGCTTGGAGTTTAGTCCCTTCAAACCATGGACCTGGTTTGTGATCCGCTGGGAGAGAGTGCCCACAGTGGTGTCCTTGATGTCTCTGGAATAACCCACAAGAAAGCAAGAAAGAGCATCAGGCTACGTTACCAGGTAGGTCCTCATATTCTAAGAAAACACCCAGCTTGGTAGGGAGGGTTAACTTTTCACAAGAAAAAAATGTTACTTTTCCATTTGATAGAATTGGGTATAAATTACCTTAATTTTGTTGTCATTTGGGGGCCTGTATTTTATCTTTCTCATCAGAGGCATTTTACAAAAGATGATTACAGACAGAGCTAAAATGAAGCCACTTTCACTTAAAAAAAAAAAAGAAAGATAGCTTGGGTCAAATGTTCAGATCTTCTGTACTTTCTGGGTAAACTTGTATTAAAGAGTTCTACCTTAACTTCCCTGTTTCTAAATATGATGCATTTTCTCCACCTGAATTTCTAGGATGTTTTCAGTCAGTGGTGATTTTCAGAACTGGAAGGTTGGTTAAAACTATGGTTGATAAACACTATGAATTTTTTAGGGCTGGAGATGTAGCTCAATGGTAGTGTGCCTGACTAGCATATAAAGGCCCTGGGTTTGATTCTCAGCACTGCGAAAAAGAAAAAAGGAAAAGTAAACCAAGTTAAAATGTAAAATCACCAAACAAAAAACCTACCACCACAACCACCAACAACAAAAATAGGAATTTTTCAAATAAAGCATGTGAAGATGATTTTTTATCTCAAGATGAAGATTCTTTGTAGCAAACTGGCTCTTCACTGGAAAGGACATCCAGTCAAGAGTGCAGACTGCTTTTATACAGCTGTTCCTGTTATAGTCAACATTTAGTTTCTGGACAGGGTGTGCTATTCACAAAGTCACATATTCTAACTCAAATACTTTGGAGATGAACTAATTCTTATAGATAAGAAATAAAGGACCAGGCATCCTATAATCACAGCAGCCAGGGCATGAGAGGCTAAGGCAGGCGATAGTGTTTGAGGCTAGCCTGGGCTATATAATAAGACCTTGTCTTTTAAAAAAGAAGGGGGGGAAAAAAAGGAAAACAAGGCTCAGAAAAGGGCTGTGATTTGTTCAGAATAGAAATTTGTGGATGGCTGGGACCAGAACCTGACCCTGGGTCTCTACATAGGGTATGATACAGGCATCTTCCTCATGCCCTGCAGCCTCTGGGCAGTAATGACTCAGGTGCTGTACAAAGGGCTCACCTTAACAAGTGTTCCACTCCAACTTCCTCAGCTTCCTCAGCTCCAATTTCACTAGTCACATGCTCAAATGTTTTCGATGTTGGTGTTCCATCCTGGGAGAAGAGGCTTACTTATAGTTATTTACTTTCAAGAAGCAAACTGGCACGTGTTCATTTTTAGACCTTGAATCTTCTGCTTTTGGACAGCTAATTTCATGGGTGTGTTACTGAGAGTCCCATGGCAATGGTGCATCAGGTTTTCTTTAAAAAAAAAAAAATCATAAGCCTTCAAAGCTAAAAATCACTGTGGTGACATTCAGTGGTGAGGTCTGCTGGGACATTACTGTTAGCTTGTTTGTATATTGTAGTGGCCACTAAACTGTTTCCTGAGGAAATTTTTTTTTTTAAAGGAAAATCTTAATATTCTATCAAGCTCACACTTGGACGTATGCAGGGTCAAGACTCATATTAAAAGCATATAGTTATTTCTAGAATGAACAAAACACAGAATACTTGCATTTAAGGCAAGTCCATGCCAGTAAACATAACTTTTAACCATTTACTGTCCCTAGAATCAGGTGATACCAGAGCACCAAAAACAATGCCATCAGAATAACTGCTAACTTTCTGGTGTCCTGAACTAATCAAGGCATCCGCTGGGGGATCTGGTTCACTGGATCATCTGGTGGCTTCTGATGGGATGGAGAGATACTCTCCTACACCTAGTGCCAGAAGAAGCTGAGCATCTCCTGTAATGTCTTCATGGAGTTCTGTAGCCAGAATGCCTAGCTTCAAAGTCTGGCTCTGCCAGCAAGTGACAAGGAAGCTAGGAGCTGAGGGGCCTTGGGCAAGTAATGTAACTTACACTATGTGCTATAAATATTAGCTGCTATTATTTTATTTAAGGTAATGTGAATCCTCTAAAGGACATTCTTTGGATACTAGGATAGTCAGGGCCTTTCAGAATCTTGTAGGACTACATTAATTCTTCTCTGATTTCATCTTCTCATTTGAGCCTTAAGTACCTTTTATCCCTACTTAAAAAAAAAAAAAATCTGCTTCATGAGTGTGTGTATGTATGAATAGCCCCAAATTCCTTTTCTAAAGAGGCAGGGTTAAAAATTAACTAAAAATAACTGGATCAAGATTAGGGATAAAAGCCTTATTACAACCAGGCAATAAATTTGGCTCCAAGTTTCCTGGAGCTAAACAAAAACAGGTCAGGACTTAGTGCAAGCAACACCAGCAAGGAGATGTTCTAAAATATCCAAATTTTACAAGCGAATATAAGGATAACACACATACAAACACTCTTACATCAAGTCCTATCCTGGAACTTGGGTCTGATTTTCCTGGAAATGGAGAAAAGCTATATCCTGACAAGTCTTACTTTTATACCCAATGCAACTCAAGTGCTAACTGATCACACAGATAAATCTTGCCATCTAGCTTTTGGCTGCTCTGACTTACTTTATATGAAAACCTATGATCTAGTTTACAGAGATTCAAAATCTTCAGGAGAAAAGAATACTGGCAAGAGGAGGCTCAACAATGGGTGTTTCATTAGATTAGAAACAAGCCCTCTAGACTCTGTATTTCCTTTGCTGTGAATGTCACTGAACAATATTTGGTTAGTCTGGGCCTCAATTTCATTTGTCAAAGGAGGGCTTAGAGATTCTTTGGTGCTCTCTATTTCTAAGTTTGACAATTCAAAAATCCAAGGTCAAACTGCTAGCAGAAATCAACCACCTTTTCTTGGTTACAGAGAGATAAAGGATTGACAACACTTGAAAATGGAAAAGAAAAGAAAATCCCTCAGGTAAGCCTCCAATCTAATCTCCCTGGGCAGAGAGATGACTTACATCATGGACTTCTTCCACTGAAATATATGCTTCGGTGGGCAGCCCCAGGTCCTTTGGCTTCACGTCAATGATGACCAACACCTGGCAGAGAAACACAGCTTAGCAAATGTCACACCTGACAAAAAGGAGTAAGTTTAGCTTTACTTCAGATCACTGAAATGATTTCATTCATTCAATTAGAAGCCAAAATCTTCACAAAATATGAGTTTTTATCTCAAATTATCCCATCACCTGCTCAGTCAAGAGAGCCCAAATTTCAATCCCTGCCCCATCACCTAACACACTTTACTAACCTCATTTGTAAATCAAACATAAAGTTACTGAGAGGATTAACTAACTCATACAATGGGCAGATATTACTGTTATTTACTAACTACACTAAGTTATACTACACAGAACACTGCAAAGTAATGCAATAAACTATGGGAGAAAAAGAAATGAATGAATTTGCTATCCAAATCCTTCCTAGGATGTTCTTTTTTGAGTTAGCTAGCAAAGAATATTATTCAAGACAGCACTTACTGAGTTAGGGCAGTATCTTTTCATGAGTTCATTGATGGCGATGTCATTCTTGTGTAGTTTGGGGCCTGTGTGGTACCACCCAACAATTCTTTCTCTGGCTGGGAAGGAAAAACTTAGTAGGTTTAAATGATTTCATGAAGATCTGTAGAACTGACTCAAGAAGGATAAAAACATCAAGAGTTATGTCTCAACCTTTTTGAAAATTTCAGACAAAAAATAACTCTTGACATATTTCATCATACTTGTGAATTCTAAAATCTAAACATAGAATTCCCAGAAAATAAGCAGTGTGTGATCCACAGGCAGCCACATCCCAGACTAGTTTAGAACAGTCACACATGAAACAGCTAGAGAACAATCCCAAGCAATGTCCAAATACATGAAGCTCATGTCTCATAAATGGCAGCTGTGAGCGCTGTAGGAATAACTGTCCAAAGCAGTGTGGCTGCTGTGATTAAATAAAGTGAAAGTGATGCATGTGACACAGCAAGAGGTTTACCCTGGTATTAAAGCTTTCTAGGGCAGGTAGATTTTGTTAGCTCTATGCTTTTCTGTTGGAATCAGAGGGCTAGCTGCACACTCAAACCTAGGTGATCTACCTAGCCTTAAACTACTATCTAGTTTTTCATTTATTCTACCTTCTTCTTTTGTTACCACTAGTTGTCTTACTTAAGTCTAACTAAGTGAAAGGGCCCTTGACATTAAACAAAGAGGTGAAAGCACATACGTGCATGTACACGTGTACACACACACACACACACACACACATATCCTGCCATAACACCTTCTCAGAAAGACAAGACTTACCATTGACCTTCTTAAACATTCCATACATATTTTCCAAATAATCATGGTCTAAGAACCAGACAGAATCATCTTTGTCATCTTCATCAAAAGGAACTAAAGAGAACCCCCCCCCAAAAAAAACATTAAAATTTAGTTTAGGATCTAGACAGAAATCCACAGCAGAGGTCCTAAATGGAGATTCCCAGGCCAGACCTGATTTGTTTGTCCAACTTAATATTAACTTTTTTTAAGTTGCCCTCATTAAAACGAGGGGAATTCATGGCTGAGGAAATGGCTCAAGTGGTACAGCGCTTGACTAGAAAGTACAAGGCCCTGAGTTCAAACCCTAGTCCCACCAAAAATGAGGAAATTCATATAAAAATTCCAGATTTCCAGCTTCTCTTCAAAAACTGGAAGAACTGGCCTCTATTGGACAGGGCCTTTAAATGGGCACATGCTCTCCAGCTTGCTGAAACCCCATCACTTTCTAACATTTTCCATTTGGTAAATTACATTACTGGATGGTCATTTTAGACACTGGAATTACTACTAGCTCTAGTCCACAGGTCACATCAGCAATTATTTTTTGTTCTTTGCTGTTCTGCTTTGATCATAAAAACAATCAGTACATGAAGCACAAAAGTAAAGTTCTTGTAATGACTCTTGACACAAAGTATATGGTTAAAAAGGTCCCCCCTTCTCCCCTTGCCCTACTCATAGCAATGGTTAAAAATTTTAGTGCAGGAGCTGACATGCTATACTGATGGCCTGTTTTGTTGGAATATAGGCACACTTATTTGTTTACACACTTGTCTGTACTGGCATTTGCATTCCAACATAAGAAATGAACAGTTGGAATGGAGACCAGCAAGTTAAAAATATTTACTGTCTAGTATAGAAGTAGCCTGTAGGCTCCCTTTTCTGTTCTTCAGCAATTCTGAAATAGAATCTCTGAGTTGTAGTAAAAAATGGTACTAGCTATTTATTTTTTAAAAGTAAATTAACATTTTAATCGTGGTCAGAAAAGTGTAAACTTCGTCTTTTACCTGCAAAACTGTTGGATACATCAAGTATTTTCTTTTGCCAAGACCCCAAAAGCACACCAACAACACGCTTCTGGTTTCCAACCTTGCCGATTCTGAAAGAAAACGCATGGTCAGTTTGCATGCACAGAGAGTGGACCCAACAATTAGATACTAAATGGCAAATATCAACCGGTAGCGATACAATTTACTTGAGAACCAGACTCCCTGAAGAAATACAGTAGGGCTAGCCTTTAATATTAAATATAAGAATTCACGCACTTTGTACAAATGCATACTGGCAGGTTTTACTTACTCTTGACGACAGAGTAATGAACGCTTATAAAAGAAAACACTTTACTTTTTCTTAAACTTTCTCTATCCTCTCTATCCTCAAACCTTTCTGGGGATAAAGATGCTAGAGTAGTAATAGTTTTATGGCTTGGCTTCCAGGTTGCCAATTCTTCTCTGGAACATTTCCCCATGCCTCCAAACTCCAGTACTTTATTCTCTGTAAAGTCTAAGGGCTTAGGAAGTGATTCCTAGAGGCATGAGTGTGCCTTATTAGGCTTATTAAGCGGAAGTTACAAGGGAGCGAGTGAAAAGCCATACTGAGCAGAGAGCTAGATGAATGAGAAAGATTTTACTTGGGAATTTCTATCTCCAGTTCAGCCCTCCTCAGTGATTTTCTCCTAAGGAGCTACAAGTGTATCCCTCTTATTTCACAGATCATCAGCCTTCTTCTTTAACCACCAGCAAACGAGAGACACAGAAACAACACAATTCTCTGCTAAGGAAAGACCAAAGCCACTGGAAAATGGCACACTTCCTTAAGTCACTAGTTTCATGTTGGTTTAACTGTAGTATTTTTCTTAACATACAGTTCGGCAAATTTATCGATATTTACTAAATCTGGGGTTTGGATTAAACAAAGGATTCTGTATTCCTGGTGGCTTTTAAAAGTTTTTCTTAAATTGCAAGCACTTCAAACGCTGAGTTTCCACTTGTCAAAGAAAATACCCACTCATGGGCTTTTCTTCTGGTTTATAAAGTCCATTCATTAAAATCCCGTATTTGTTATGTGACATAGCAACTAGCAATGTCTACCTGTGTTACCCTCTTACCAAGTGTTTGAATATAACTAAAACAGTGCCTGTCCCATTAGGACCTCTAGAATCCCACGGGAGCAAAACAGTAATTACTGCACAGTAGAAAAGCCCACGTATTACCGAACTGGGGACCATAATCTCATTCTTGAGTTTATTTTTCGCTCTGGTTGAGTAAGTTGCACAAAGGAAAGGTGCAGAATGGGCACCTATGACTTTACAGGAGGTATTCCCAACTGGGTCTTTACATTTGTTAATTCAAGTAATTATCTTGTGAAACTCCCAAACACGTGCAACAGGTCTAGCAGGATCAACGGCTCCAAAAAGCAAAAGGTGGCGGAAACAGCGAGCTTACCGGGTCATCAGTGGGATGTTTCCTCACCTTATTCATTAATGCCAAATCTGCAACTGCCTCATTTTTTTAAGAGAAGCTGACATCCACATTTTAAGATACCATTAAACCAGATTCCCATTTAGAAACTTCACGGATTGACACTACCGTCAATCCAAGGAAGCCATTCGGGGCGCTGAAACCAGAATTCGGGGGACAGCATTCCCAGGCACAGAAGCGCAAGACGGAAGCACTTTTCTGCGATACTGAGTTTATTCGGTAAAAAGGGGCGGACAAGGTGACGGAAGGCCACAAGCCTGAGGGCGAAGGTCAGGGTCAGCTGAAGCTTGCCCCCCATACTCCGGCATCACCAAGATTACGATAAAAGAAACAGCGGCCCAGGCCCCGGAGTGGCGGTCGGGACGCGAGCGCTATGCTGGGTCCGACGGCTCCGTGAGCCGAGGGAGGTCAGCACCCCGTCCACCAGCCTGGACCACCCGCGGCCGCCGCGCTGTCCCCAGCGTGCCCGTGACTCAGCAGCCCCAGCGCCGCCAACTCGCGAGGCCGTCCCGCGCCGCCCGCTCACCGGTTGAAATGATCCACCACACTGAGCAGCACCAGGGGGTGGACCACCACCTTCTGCACCGCCAGCTCAGGCATCGCGACACACCCCGCCCGCCAGGCCCGGCTCTCAGCGATCCACAAACACCGACAACAGCAGCAGTACCCGCAGATCCTCCAGGCCCAGCTCCTCCCCTTCCGGTTCGGCAGCCGCCGTCGCAGCCTCTTTCCGCTCCCAGAGTGCTTCGCGCAGCGTGCCCGCACTGTCGCCAGGGCAGCCAGCTTGAGGAAGGGAAAGGCGGAGCCACCTTGAATTCCACGCCTCGCGGTTCTCTGGAATTCTTCAAAGCTGTAAGGACGCTGGACTTGATATTGGGCCGGCAGCGGCATAGCAGTTCCTTCCTAGCTCACCATTCCTCCTCCTCTGGAAACTATAGAAACAATACTCAGAAAAAACTTAAGTAGTGACAACTTATATTTCCACTAACCCAGAAAATGTTCACCTTGGCTTCAAGTCAAAGCTCTTCCAGGATTTTCTTACAGGAACTTTACATCTCTTAGCATCACACACAACTCTTGATGTAGATGTGGGTAATTTATCTCATCATTTTTATTGTCAGGAATGTCCCCTTAATCTTTACGATGGATACTTTGCAGTTAATGAACGTGGCAACTTGGAGGCCCCCCATCTTTACGTTACTTCCTGTGTAACCAGGGCTGGAAGAAAGTGATTTGTGCCAGGCGATGGGAGTTGAGTTTCAAACCAAACTTATATAAGCGTTGAGGAAAAGATAGAAGACATTAATTAAGGAAGTATGTTTTGATATTTAGGTAGGAAACATGTCTAGAAAGGAAGACTAAAGTAGGAAATGCGGGAGACAGGGACTTAACGCAACTTCCAACAGGTAAGGAGATTTGGCCAGTCCTCTCTTCCAGCCATGCCAGCTGAGGCACCAGAATTTAAGTGGAAGTAGCTCTCATGGATGTTCCAGCCCTGTAGGCACCATGTAGACCAGAACTGCTTAGCTGAGCCCAGCCCATATTTTAGAATCCTGTGAAATAGTAAGTCATTGCCACTGCTTTAATTCACTAAGTTTTGGGTGGGTTGTTACATAGAATAGATAACAGAAACACCAGGCAATTTGTGAAATCTTTGTGAACCTGAAGTTCTTGGTCGACACATTACCTGCCACACAATGCCTGTCACTCATTATAGTAGCAAAATATCTCATTATTTGTATGAAAATATTCCACCCTCCCAAAAAAATATCCCAGATCTGAAACACTTCTTGTCTCAAACATTACTCATCTTGCTCTCAGAAATAAGCTTAAACTAGTTGGGTTTTTAGTGTAAGCCAGAAAGTGATATGACAGCAGTGGCATTTTTACAAGGTTAGCTTGACAGTAATATGCAGAATAGAGTCAAAGGAGGAAAGTTAGGAGTTAGGAGGCACTTTAAATAAATTGATATGAATGATAAAGACCTCGAGTGGTAGAAGGAACAGAAAAAAATGGAGGGGGAAGGGTACATTTCAGACTTGTTTTTCTTTAATCAACAGATCACTGCAAACATAACTGTAAGGTCCTTTATTTGGGGGGAAGACATAATAAAGAGAAGCTGACTTCTTCACAGTTATTTTGGGAAATGTTACCATGTGTTCTGGGTTATAACTTTTGCTAGTCCATATGTTTGCCTTATTATTGTATTTTTTAGCAAGGATTTA